GCACTTTGTCTGTCTAGCTGGTAGACCTCATGACTCCTGACACCTTTCTGTTTCTGTGGAAGATCTCTTTCGAGGAAAGCTTAGTAATTCACTTGATAATTCAAAGACTGCCACAGAAGACAACTATAGTTTTCTGGAATTCTGTACATTCAAACTCCCACAATAGTGACACTATAAAGTAATGTAAACAAAGCCCAGATGTCACCCAATATACATTTTTCTGACAATATATCTTTGGCTAAAAAGTGACAATTCTAAATTGATAAAAGGCAGCAGAATTGTTGTGCATTATTGAGATAAAGGGTTTGTCAACTAAGATGCTCAAAATGTTTCAATTATCTCAATTTTGAAAGTACCTGAAAAAAAGCAGGTCTCTTCCTGTAATACATGGAAGCTAATGCCTACTGTTAGGCATTCTTTGCTCAACAGCAGCATTTCTACTAAATATGCTGTAACATCAATGCCAATATGTCTTTTTAACAACTGAGAAAACAGAGGCTCACAGATATTAATTCAAACTCCTGAGGCCACAAACCTTATAGAGATGGAGGATTCAAACTTGAGTCTGACTTTAAATCTAGTGTTATTTCTAAAAGTAGAGATAAATGTGCACTTGAGCAAGTCCTCCCCATCTCTCTTCATCTATCCCTAAATGTAGTGACTTTGGTTGTGGGATCAGAGGAATATTTCCAGATAAAAAGTCAGAGGAACCTAGTTACTTAATCTCTACTTTTTTGTGTTATATTATTCCTATTGTTAAGAGTATATCTAAAGGATTATAAGGTTTCTAATAGTTCTGATGGTCTGTGACTCTGAGAGATTTTCAAATATTCTTACATAACAACTTTTCCATGAAAAGATCATGGCCCTGGTGAGTTGCCTGTAGTGGGCAGATAGGAGGATAAAACCCTCAGAGAAATTGAATTGAGTACTTTGGGCTTATGAAAGTGGGAAAATATGTACCTAGCTGCCAAAGAGTAAAGGAATAAATTCTTGAAAGATGAATTTAGTTAAGGCAGAGGCTTTTTTATGTCAACACTGTCAGCAGCAACCTTAGTCAATGTCACAAGTACAGTGAAAACTCAAGAAAAATATGTTGCTGTTTTTGCTGAGGATGATAGGCCTTAGTAACCAAGTGATTCTGTTAGACCTCACACTGGATCTTGCCTTAGGTCTTAAAGATCCAATATCTTAGTGAAATTACCCTGGCTAGTCAGCATTTTAATGATTTCTTCCCTGCCTATGTCCAAGGCAAAGACATTCCATAAAATCCAAGGCAACTCATCTCTTTCAATCAGTTTCTCCAAACTATGATTCCCACCCTCTTGCTGTCTCATTTTTGTCTAATCGCTAGTTTCTGTTTCATTGTTACACACTTGGGCAAGAAAAGTTTCATTCACTTATGTTTTAAACATTTATTGAGTTCTTACTATGTGCCCAATGTGAATTTCTTGAAGTTAGTCATTGCTGTGCAGAGTGGGGGGTAGGGAGTGAGGAAAGGAGGAGAGAGGGAGAGGGAGGGAGGGAGAGAGAGAGAAAGAGAGAGAGAGACAGAGAGACAGAGAGAGAGGGAGAGACAGAGAGAGAGAGAGAGAGAGAGAGAGAGAAAGAGAGCGCAAGTAAGCAGCCAGGGAGGAGGAGGAGAGAGTTTCAGGAAAATACATACAAAGAACACAAGTTAGAAAAAAATACTCAAAAAATAAAGAATAGTTCAGAATGGCTAGGATATAGAATATGCAATATATCAGGGAAGTTGCAAGGGATGAAGCTGGTAAGCACGGGATGGCTGCTTTGAAACAGACAATCCTGATTTTCCCTCTTATTAGCTATGTGACCAATTTGTTTCTTTATCTGGAAGATGGAGATAATCACTCCTTCTATCTGTAGCACTTGGTGTCTAGCATTTAGTGAGTGCTTAAATGTTCACTGAATTCACATCCTGGAAAAGAAAAAGGAAAAATGGAACTAGAAAAAGTGTGAGACAATAGAATTGGACAGTTTTACTTCATGTGACATAAAAATGGATTTTTTTTTTTAGTGGTCCAGGGTTCTTAGTCTGGCATTCTCTGACATGACAGACCAAAATTCAATCCAAATAATCACATCCTGTGGCTATTATGCTTTCCTAAAATTCAAGGTATAGAATCACCCCAGCAGCTTCCTCATCCCTCATGCTGTGAGTTGTGCACAGAGCCCTAAGAAAGTTGCCAGCCATGAGATTCTTTTCCCCTTCAATGCAAACACACATGGCACAGGCATATGATTCCCATCTGGATCCACCCCCGACTTCCGGCCAGGAGGCTGCTGTGTAGGCAGGAACGTCTGCTTATGAATTTGCTAGCCTAACCTGGCACCCTAAGCTAGCCTTCTCTAAGAAGTAAAACACAGAGCTGGCAAAGCTCACACTTATGTAAATTCTTTTCAGAATCCTATCCAATTCTACCGCTTTCTTGCCCTGGTAAAAGAGGATGATCTAGGCAAGGGACAAAGCTGCTCAGATCAAATAAATGGGTCTTTATTTCTGGAAGAGAACAGATAGACTTTCATTCAATCCAAGGAACAGATGCAGACCCATGAGGAGAATGGGCTGAAAGCATCACCCATCACCCTAAGGCCATTAGGTCCAGGGGTTGTTATTCAAAGCAACAGATCTCCCTCTGGTTCCCTGATGGCATCAGTGCCCAGCCACTCATAACTATTACTATCATTATTCCTGCTGGATTCTATGCCCCAGTCGAATTGGCAACATTCCTTCTATTTGCAAACAGATTGCAAAATAAGAACCTCAGGAAGAACACAGGCTGGCCAGGCTCCAAGGACTTTCAGCAGCAATAATGCTAAATCAGGGCTGTGTCCTATCCCCAAACAACAGCAGGTGCTGGCACTGCTTCTCATAGGCCTGGATCATCAGGATACCTGGACTCTTTCCTTTCTTTTCTCCCTCCCTCTCCCTCCCTTCCTGAAATAAGCAGCTTGGGAAAGAGACGGAAAATGGTCACGGAATTTACAAGCAAGGATCCATGATTGGGGGTCCTAAACTGTTCATGAGTTTTCTGACATGGATGCTTTATCTACATGAAGGCCTGCTGAACTTTCAGCAAGTGGACCTTTTGAAAGTCATGATCTTCTGTGGAAAGGTTTTTCTTGTGTGAAAAATGAACTATTACCAAATCATCCTCTTGAATTATCAGAAAAAAATTCCAGCTCAACCAAGATAAAATGAATTTTTCCACACTAAGGAACATCCAGGGTCTCTTTGCTCCTCTAAAATTACAAATGGAATTCAAAACAGTACAACAGGTTCAGCACCTTCCATTTCTTTCAAGATCAAACATTTCATTGGATATTTTGAGGGGTAATGATGAGGCTATCAGATTTAAAGATATTATCAATGATCCATCACAAAGTGAACTCATGGGGGAACCACACTTGATGGTGGAATATAAACTTGGTTTACTGTGATACATGTGCTGTTCATGAACCAGAGGATCTGCATCTTGTGATAGTTGTCATTTGTTATAGTTTGATGTACACAACATTAAAAGTACTGACACAGGAGAATTTCTGCTTAATAATATTAGTGATGATTTGAAATTATTTGAGTCTTTGGATTGTGGCTCTGCAACAGTTGAAAGCACTAAAGGTAGATGATTTCAAAGCTCCTAATTTGTAGTAAAACAATAGCCTTCCCTATCTTTCAAAAACTGTTTCCAGTGAATATCAGAAAATTGTCCAGAGGTTCCAACTCACCTACTTTCTAGGTATTCTATCAATTTAATTTTAAATGACCATTATCAGTATTTGAGCCTACACACTTTGTGGTAGTATCAGAATAAACATATATAGAGTAATACCTTGGTTCATGAATGCAAAAGTGTTTAGCAGAATTTTACTTCCGTTCACAAAATCTGCATTCTATGACAGACACAACCATGGCCCTACAGAAACACAAATCCAGCTATCTTTTCTAAAATCGTAAAACAAATTAAGTGCATAAACCGAGGTACCACTGTAATTGATTTCAGTGGCAACACTTAAAATTAAGTATAGCAGATGTTTGTTATGTTTTTGTGTAGCTTATTAGAATAATGTTTTCTATATTGATTGTATTTACAATTATAGCTCTACTTTGATCCTGTCATGTCGAAAAGTTCAGAGGTTTTGATTTTGGTCTTGTCTTTAAAGTGAAAAAGCCACCAGCAGATGTAGACTTAATAGCTGTACTTCATAAGCTTAATATGTACTTAATTTATTACCAGGCAACACTGTCAAAATAAAACTCACTTTTCCTTATTAAAAAAAAGAAGAAGAAATGTCATTTGCATCAACATAGATGGAACTGGAGATCATTTTGTTTAGTGAAACAAAACAGGAAGACAAGATTTGCATGGTCTCACTCATAAGTAGAATGTAAAAATATGTAGCTCTCATAAATTGAGAGAAGAACGAGAGGGATGGTCTATATTGACTTACAAGTACTAAGTTACAGTTAGGTCAGAGTAAGAAATTCTGGTGTAATATTGCACAAGAGGATGACTCTGGATAACAAAAATAATGTACAGCAAATTTCAAACTAGAAGAAAGGTTTGAAAGGTGTTACCATAAAGAGTTGAGAAATGTTTGAGGAGATACACATGCTTAACCTAATTTAAACATTACACAATGCACATATGTAATGAAACATTACATGGTACTTCACTAATGTGTACAATTTTATGTTACTTGTTAAGAAATAAAAAAGAAGCTCTCCCCTTGTGCTTCTACTGTCCATGCTTGCCTCTGTTTTAGCTTTAGCAACTGTGATTTCACTGTCTGGCTGTGATCTGTTTCTCCCAATAAATGGTGAGTTCTTTGAGGACAAGAGCCATGTCTTATTCATTTGTGGTATAGAATAAGTCATCAGATGTTTGCTACTTTATTAAGAAAAGTCAATATATGACCTTTGTGTCAGCATGCATTACAAAGCAGACATGCACTAATCAGTATTTCTCATTTCACAGCATCATGTCTGATGGGAAACATGAAATTTTTCCTGGTTGTGGAACAATTAGACCTTCTGCTGACTTCCTTTCCAGAAGAAAGGTAGGCAGTTCTTGATTGCAGGGATGCTTGTTATCCCCTCCCCCTTTTCCCCTTTTTTCTACAGCAATTCAGCTGAGGAGTAGTAATTATGAGAATATCTACACTACAATTATTGTAGCACTTAACTTTGTATTGACATTTCTCAAAGAAATAACTCTTGGAATTGATGAACAATGGTGTATTTCCTATCCTTCTGTCATGTACACTTTTTAACTTCAAAGTCTATCATCACTTTTGACACATGTCTTAACAGTTTTGAAATACTAAGATTTCCTATTTTTGGAGAAACTCTTGATACATAAAAAGCATTACATTGAATTCCAGTGTGAGTTATTAGCTAGAAAACCTATGGGAACTTATCACTGGAAAAATCCTTGACATAGCAACTGAAGAAGGCAGGCAGGTACAGAGAAGACATCTAGAGGTCATCTGGTTGTAGATGTTTATCAGTGCCTAATTCTGTCTAAAACACAGGATGAGGCTTGGAAATAGGCAAAGATGAAAAAGAAAATTCATCCTGATTACACTCTCAACCAACTTTATCCAATATTCCATAAGTAGCAGGTAGGTTGGAGGATAGCTAACTAAAATGACTCCCTGTTCCTCCTCACCACAGAAATACAACTCTGAACTCCACTCCAAATATCTGAGGAAAATGTACAATGCCTAGTCAGTAAAACTATCATGAAAATCAAAATGAAGGGCAGCCCACTTTCCTGTCCCCCTTCTGTCTCTCTTAGGGAGAAGCTTTCTTTCTCTTAATAAATTTTTCCTACTCTTAACCTCTGTTGTTCCTAGAATTCATTCTTTGATTTTAGAGAACACAAACTCATGTTTCAGATATCTAGTAGGTTTGGGAGTTACATCTCTTTCCCCTATATCATTTTGGAGGTCTTCCACTGAGATTACTGGTAGGAGGTAAGAGTTTGCTTTTGTTCCATAGGTTCTAACTTTGGTCTTTAGGCTTCATAGATTGTAACTTTTGTTTCATAGGCTCTGGACATTTGTTTCATAGATTCTGGTTTTTATTTCATATCAATTCTGGCCTTTGTTTTGGGTTTTGTTTCAAAAGTGTCCTAATTTTAAGTTGTGTGTTTTAAATGTTTGCAAATTTCTTGTTTTTCTTGTGCACTGTCTTTTGTTAAAATTACATTTTATTCTTGTTTTGTATGTGTTGCTTAAAAATGTAAAATGGGTCTCTTATGAAATAGTCTCAGATAGACAGTTCAGGCTTTTATCTGTCCCTTACACAATGCCAAATAGCAGTTACTCTGCCAGCTAGTAATTGCCTTTAGGGCAGCTGCCACTCTCAAAGCAGAGGACAGGTTTCTCCAGTTGTCCTCTGGTGAATCCCCACTCCCATTGACACCAATGGTGGGTGGAATGTTGACCAGATAGGCAATTGGGTTCCTTTTGGAGACAGATCTCTGATTGTGTGGAACCAGCAGAAACTGAGGTGACAACTGAGAGGTCATGGCCAGGGCTACTCTCTGGTGGATACCCAAAAGTCCCTCAGAAGAAACTAGCTCCCGACAGCCCATCTGGGTAGTCAGCAGAAAATCGCCACATCTTGTCCCTATCTGGACTCCTCAGTGAGGTGAAAGGGGAACTCTGTCAGTGATCGTCAGATATCCTCTATCTCAGAGTGATATGAAGAGATGCCCTCAGAACCCTTTCTTAAGCCTCTGTTAAGAGTTGAGCTACAGGTTTGGACTGCTTTCTCTACTACTAGTAAGACCGCTAGACAAATGTAGAAAATGCATCTCTGATAGATTATAAGCTACCTGAACCTTTTCTCTCTCCCACCCCAGGCATAGTCTTTATCATTTAGGGGGAAAATGCCTTTTCCAATAGGTTATGGACTTTGGAACATTGACTGTGGACTTATAAAATGCTATATGGTGATTTTTTTTGGATGTTTAACCAGCTTGAGCTTTATTTGGACTTTTTCTCTCTGCTAGTGAGTTAAAAACTCCCCTTTAACTTTTCTCCAACTTGTTGGGAGTTCATTTCAGAATTCCTAGTAGTCAGACCACTCCTCCTTCCAGAAAGTCAGGCTAAGGCAACTCAGTCAGTAACTTGCATTTGTGTTTTTACATGCTAAATAGAATTTAGGAATATTTTGGTCAGCCTTTCTCTTCCTTCATGCCTGGGCTAGGAAGTTGATAAAGGTACCTTTACTATGTAGATTGTGGCTGCTATGAGGACCTATGAGTTCAAATACTTAGTGAATTTAAAATGGACCTTAAAGGAGTAGCCTTGTCTTGCTAATAAAAGTTGCCTAAATGACTGGATAGATAACAGAAATTTCTCAGAGCTTTCTTTGCCCTAAAGGCCAGGGCAGAATCTCTGAACAATCTCTGGGGTTGATCTCTTTTGCAGGAAAAATGCCCTAATTTGACTGTTGACCTATTTTCTTCTCTATCTTTCAAGGAACTAGAAAGCAATGGTTTAAACCTCTTGGCTTACTAGCAATACTTCCTTCTCTATACATGACTGTTATGGCTAAAGTCAACTGTAACTTGTGCTTTCAGAGTACCTACTGGAGTAAGGATATGAGTTACCTAAGGAAGACTGCAAGCTGGTAAAGGGTAGATAGACCAGTCCAGTTTTATTTTCTGGTTCTCTCTCCAGACTGTAGCTACCTACCCTGGAGTGGTATAAACCTTGGGGGATGCCCTGGGGATGCCCTAGGAGGCATAGGAATCAAGCAGAGACTTATGGGATGCCATATTTGTTTCTCTTATTTCAGATTAGGAACTCCATATCTGAACCTCTTACTCCTTTGCAATATATTAAGGAGCAATTTAGTATTTCTCTACAACTGCACATGGTGTGCCTATCTCCTAAAGCCAAGTACACAGAGGAAAGTACTATGATGCTATCTCACAATTAGAATTATACTGTAAAAGAGGGAAAATGGTTAAAATCACCTTATTTTGAGATTTTCTTTACACTAAGAAGAAATTCTTGCTTGTGTTCAAATGTAAATGTGGGACATAGAAAAATGAGAGAGACCTTACCTTCAAGGCATTCAGTACTTCTAAACCTGAGACTATTCCTCACCCTTTAGAACCTGAGAACAAAGTTTCCAAGACAACTTTAAGCTTTGATCACCAGGTGCTGAGGGTTGAATTTCTAGGCCAGCCATAATTAATCTCTATGAGGCTATATCCATTCTTAACTAAGTTGTTCAGGTCCCTCAAAGACAATATCTCTTGCCGGAAGTAAATGGCAAATATGGGACTACCTGTGTTCACGTGTCTTTTTCTCTCAGTGATCTAAGATATTAAATGAAACCTGAAAAAGTTTTCAGATGACCCTGATATGTACATTGAGGTCTTTAGAGGACTTACTCAGACCTATGGACTAGATTAAAAAGATGTGATGTTGCTCTTAAATCAAATATTGATTTCTAATGAAAGACAAGTAATATCACAAGCTGCTACTACATGTAGAGACAAATATTATCTTAATTTTGGAAGCTCAAAAGACAGGCAGCCCGAGGAACAACTGGTTCCTACTGGGATACAAGCAGTTCCTATACAAGACCTCCACTGACCTGCCAATCAGATAGGAGATTAAATAGAAGACATTTTCAGGCATGTATTCTTAAAGGTCTAAGAAACATGAGAACTAAATCCTTCAATTATTTTAAATTGTCAAGTATTTATCAGGAAAAATAGGACATCCTTACATCCTGATTTGATAAAAGGAAATATTATAGTTTTTCCCAGGTCACAGTCTTGCAATATGTAGATGGTATGCTGTTATGTGGCCCCTCAAAAGAGATTCCTAGCGAAGACATCTGCTCTGCTGAATTTTCTAACAGACAGAGGTTATAATATTTCTAGATCTAAGGCACAACTTTGCAGCCTTGAGGTAAAATATTTAGGCCTCATTATATCTAAGGGAAGCCAAAGACTGGGGGAAGAAAGAATTAAACCAATTCTTTCCTTTCCATAGCCCAAGATCTAAAATAGCTAAGGAGATTCCTGGAAATTAAAGGCTTTTGTGGCCTTCAGATAGCAGGATATAGTGAGCTTGCATGACCCCTCTATTAGTTTATAGAAAAACCCAAGAGACAGACACCTGGGGACCTCATTCCCAGACTACACTCCAGAAGTTCAAGCAAGCACTTCTAAGTGCCTGCCTACAGGACACCATTTCAGTTTGTGTGTTAATAAAAGGTGAGACATGGCTTTGGGAGTGTTTCTACAACATCAGAGAGCTGCTCAACAGCCTGTAGGGTATTTCAATCATAAATTAGATATTATAGATTCAGAGTAATTCATTAAAAGAGTAAGCCCTAAACAATGTAATTAGAACACTTTCATTCTCTTTCAAGAGGCAAAAGGCAACCATTTGGGTTCTTTGTTTATTGGTTTGATTTTTTTCTGCTTGGGAATGCAGTGGGAGTGAATCATAACTTTTGTCTCTGGAGACATGTTTTGCTGAGGCTCACAGATCCACTCTGGAAAAGCTCCTGATCTTAATTGTCCTTCTACACCTGAGATGGTTAAGATTTAGTTCTTGTGCCATACTTAAAGGCACTCTTCTGTTCCTTCTCCACTGCCCTGCTCCTGAGAAATAAGGCAGTTTGATTCAAGGTACTTCCCTTTTCTGTGGCTGCTGGATTTCAAGACAAAGATTCCAGAATGGTGAGTTTCCCCTCCCTGGAATCCTTCCAGAGTAAAGCTGACCTTCATTTATCACTGGACCATATAGAAAACTGGTCTAGGTTTAATCCTAAAACTTTCAAAAGATAAATGTAAAAGTTTTAGTTCATATTTATCTGTTTTTCAAGCCCTCAGGCAAAATTAGAGAATGGTAAGAAAAGCTAACCTGGCTCTGGCCACTTCCTTGCACCTCTAGTCAGCCACCACTGGTACTGGATGAATTAAAGTCTAAGGGGCCCCTTAGATTGGGCACAGAACAAGAGGGATAAACAGGGATACCTTCTTTCCCTTTGTTTCTTCTCAAAATGGGGAAAACTGTCA